TTTTACTCCTCTAATTCCCAAGTTTCTTTCTTTAACGTTTCCAGTCCTCTTTTCTTCAAAATGTCTTCTTTTTTTGCTGTAAACAACATTTAAGCTCATAAGTACCATTATTCTAAACAAATTACCAACTTTTCAATAAAAATGTACTTAAACATTGCCCAAAAAATAAGTATAAATATGGCAATATCAGAGAGGTTAAGCTAGCTGATCACAGGGGAGAAAAGTCGAAGTTTGGAGAGGAAATCGGAGTTGTAGATGATGAAGCCGAGGGAGGCGATGAGGATTCAACCCTAATTTTGCTTACCCCACATCCAAAAGCGTTTGTTTACCCCAATGAATTTAACTCCAAATTTGCCAAATTTAAATCCACTAAGTTTTTGTTGATGTTAAAACCCCAAAAAAGATCTCCAACCAAACTGCGAGTAGAACCGAACAACAAGAAGCAATGATCTCACCACCTCGACAAATGACTAAGAAACCGCCCTAGGCTTGATGAAAACCAAACTCCAAAATGAAACGCAGGAACCAAAATACACAGTAGAGCCCCACTAGCACCAGGCAAAAACATAGATGGTCTCACCAAAACAGCAACAAGAAGGCATCCAACAACAAAACAGCAAAACATATCGAAAATAATAAAAGGCTTAGCAATAACCACCAACAAAGGAGAACGAAATCTTGGAATACACTTCAAAGAAAGATAAAGAGAACCGGCAGCATCCACCACCACCACAGTGGCAATTGGGTGTAGTTGGCGTTGACCTAATTCAATTGGGTGTAGTTGGCATCTGAATATGAGATTTTGGCTTTGATTTAGAGGAATCAAGGGTTATCATTGATGGTGGTAGCATTTAGAGAGAGAGAGAGAGAGAGAGAGAGAGAGAGAGATTTTATATATTAAATAACTATATTTAACTTTTTTTTTTAAAAAAAAAAAATAAGAAAAAACATCATAAATAGTCCTTGTGGTGTGAAATGATGAAAATGTCAATCGGTTAACGGACAAAATTTAACGGAGTTAGCAATAAGGACCAATCGTCAAAAGTTTTGAAAGCATAGGGACCATCTATGACGTTTCTAAACCACGGGTACTAAACTTCAGATTTTGAGAAACCACGGGGACCATTTATGATGTTTTTTCTTATTATTATTTATGCAATAAAATTATGTGGTTTTTCAAACTAAAATCCAAAGGGACATCAGATTAAAATGTTATTTTAGTATTATAATACTAAAAAACTTATTTTATAAAAATAATAATGCATTATAGTTACATGTTATTAATCTAATTTATATTTTATTGATAATTAAAATTTAACTTTGTTAAAATATTATAAATATCAATTAGAGTTTGAAACACTTTATCCGCTTATCATTCTCCTGACATTATCATATATAACAAATTCTTATAAAAAATGATAATTTTTTTAGATTACTAAGAGGGTGTTTGAGAAAACTTTTTAAATGACTTTTGTCTTTTAACTTTTCTAAAAAAATATAAAGATGTTTGGATGATGCAAAAGTTCTTTTCAAAATAACTTTTTGTAAAGAAGAAAATGGTGAGTTTTCAAAAGTCAAAAAAGTGTGACTTTTTTTTAACTTTTAGACTTTTAAAGCTAAATCACACTCAAAAGTTAAAGAATACTACCCAGACACTTTTTAAAACCCACTTTTGGCTTTTGTTTCCTCAAAAGAACTTTTTTAAAGATGTTTTATCAAAAAAAGAATCTTAATCTAAAACCTTTGTCAACTATAAGGGCGTCAAGTAGGATCGAAAGTATGAAGATAATAATGACTCAAGTTCTTGAAATAGTAGAACCTTGCATAAAGAAACAAATATAAAGATCAAAAGTGAAACTTTTTGTCTAGAAGAGTATGAACTTTGTAGATTCGGCTTGAATATATACTATCATTTCTTGGTTAAAGTAAATAACATAAGCATACAATCTCAAACAATGCATATTGATGAGGCAATGAGTAGTATGAGATGATTGTGAATTGTGTCAAGGTTATAACATTTTATTTGAGGAGTTAATTAAGAAAAATATTAAAAGAATTATTAATGAGGAAACCTTTTGAAGAGAGTTATGTTGATCCATCGAAACTAGTACATGAACTTTCACTTAAAAATCATGGGGGATTCTGTATTTTGTTTACATAATTGAATAAGTTACTAGTTCATTAGAGCAAAGGTTTGGGCAATAGGAACAATATAATGATATTTTTTATTTCTTATTCGCACTAGAAAAGTTAAAGTCATCGAATACTAATAAACTAAAGTCGTGTTGCAAAAATCTTAGAATAGTTTTTACAAATTGTCATATCTCATACATCCGTTGTGACTATTTATTCAATGGATTGGAATTGTTACCTAAAATTCTAATTGAATATAATACAGATAACACAATACTAAATTTCTTAAAAATGATAAACATTTATCCAATTATTGTCTAGCATGCAAAATATTTTTGATCGTTCTCATTACAGATGCATCAACATAGAGAAGCTTTTCACAACTAAACCTCTAAAATATTATCTGCGTTCTACCATGTCTTAAGAGATTGAACTTTTTGGATTTGATTTACATTGAGAACGAGTTTCTTGTAAATATTAATTATGACAGTATAATAAATGAATTTGCTTTTAAATATGCTTGAAGATTGATGTTTAGAAAATAGTAATGTGTATCTTCTTTTGTAAAGTTGTTTGTGATAGTTTTAGTGTTTTAGTAATGAAGGAAGACTCGCATTGGTGCTTATGACTCATGACTCAGGTATGGAATTTACGAGATTATTGTTATTAACTTTAAATTTTGAATTTAAAGGTCTGAAACTTAATTGTCTTTTTCGTAGCTTCCTCTCCTCCTCTCACCGTCCATAATAATGGTCTTCTCCCTACTAAATGCAACAATTAGTTTTCTCCTATATACATGTCCAAACTACCGCAATCTTCACTCCCATAATTTATCGTTGATTGTCATCACTCCTAACGAGTTTTCAATTGTTTAGCTGGGAACCCAGCCCAACAACATTTTACCATAAATTCACCTCAACATCCTCTTTTGTGTGACCTCCATCTTCCTATCATGCTCTTTCTTAGTTGTCCAACATTCAAATTCATACAACATAGCGGGCCTTACACTCACCTTGTAGAGTTTCCCCTTAAGTTTCAACGGGACCTTCTTGTTACACAAAGCTTTATTGGTCACTCTCCATTTTATCCATCATGCCTTTATGAAGTAAGTGACATCATCATGAACACCCATTTCCTTATGAATGTGAAACCTTATAAACTTAAAGATTCCATTCAGTTGTAGGACACGGATACACGCTTCTACCTTTTCGCCATTTTGCTCCCCACTAAAATTGGACCATAGATGATTATTATTAGTTGTGTTAATCTTAAGTTCATTTTCTTCCAATTTACCATTCTAGGTATCCAACCTACCATTTAGGTCAGTCCAAATCCCCTCGATAAAAACAATATTGTCAGCAATAACCATACACCATTGTGCCTGAATCTTGTGAGATACCTCGTCCATAATTAGGGTGAAGATGTAAGAGCTAAGAGTCGAACCCTGATAGAGCCTAATTCCAATAGGAAAAAACTTTGTGTTGTCAAATGAAGTCTGAAAAATATTATAGATCGACAATACATGTCACAGATAGCCCTAGCATAACACCTAGAAACCCTTTTGGCTTCTAACATCCTTCAGATCGTCTCCCTTAGAACATTGTCATATGCATTTTCCTGGTTGATGAACACCATTTGGAGGCTTTTATTTCTTTCTTTAAACTTCTATATAAGTATGTGGGTCATCTCACTCGTCAACTTTCCACACATGAAGTCAAACTGTATCCCTTAGAACATTGTCATATGCATTTTCCTGGTTGATGAACACCATTTGGAGGCTTTTATTTCTTTATTTAAACTTCTATATAAGACGTCTAAGTATGTGGATCATCTCAGTCGTCAACTTTCCACACATGAAGTCAAACTGGTTTTCAGTATTTTGTCTTATCCTAGTCTCCAACAGTCTCTATCAAAACTCAAATGTATTACTAAGTAGTTTAACACTTATATACTTGTTGCAACTTATAGCGTCTACGTTATTAGGATATCTCCTTCAACTGTTTAAGCATTTATGGCAGATGCTTGGAGTTTGGACCATGCATTTACTAACGTCCAAATTAATCAAGGCATAACTATTAAGAAAAAGAAATAGATATTGTCACTTTATGAAAACTATAAATGGGCTTTAGAGATCTACTTTTGGACTTTTAATTTGGGTTAATGACTTAGGAGGGTAATAACGTTTCTCATTTGTTCATTCTAGGTCCTTAACGTTTTTTTTGTGTATATTACACCATTAAGGTTCTAATAACCATTTATATATAGTCATTTAACCGGATTCTTCCTGTTAAACCATTACATGGATGATTAGTTGACATTATTAAGGCGTTGCGTGTCTATTTATCTCCATAAATTAGGGCAGGACAAATCCCCCATCTCTATCTCTTCACTCTCACTGTTCTTTCTTCGAGCAACCCCGATCAGATTAGATGGCTAAAGATGATGCATTGGTCGTTGAAGTCCAGTACAACGGGAACTTCTTCCCGAGGCCATTTACGTATTTTGATCCAGATAAAAAGAAGATAAGGTACGCCAATTTCAAGGACAAAGGATATTCTGAGTTCATTGCTCACCTAGAGCTGATTACTAGAAGGATGTGCAAAGATGTATACTATTGTCCAGACGGCCAAACATTGTGTCGAGGATTTGCCACATTGCAAAACGATTGTGATTATCATGAATTTCTTGAGTATCTTCATGACAAAAAGAAAGTAACTGTGTATGTGGACCATTTCCGTGAACCCCTGTTTGACTGGATTGAAATGGAAGAGCCTGAAGTTGAAGATGATACCAACTCAAATGAAGATGAAGTTGATGTAATAGATAAAGAGGTTTAGGAACACGAGCTGGATGATGAGGAGTTTTCTATGAAAAGGGCAAGAGCAAGTATTCAAGGTATGCAGAAGAAAGACATGTTTTTGAACAAACTTTGCCCAAATGATGAAGAGGAAGAAGATCCTACTGCTGAGCAACTACCTCCTGTATACCCTATGCACAATTCTGAGCAAGAATGGGATCAAATGGCTCCTGTGTTAGGTATGAAATTCACAAATCCTAGTGAACTCAAACATTGTCTTACCAACTATGCTGTTAAGCATGGTTATGATTTGTGGTATGAAAAGAATGATAAAAACAGGCTTTTAGTGAAGTGTTGCAAAGGTAAAGAACCTACATGTCCTTTTAGGTTATGGGCTTCTTGGATGCAAGAGGAAAGGACTTTTCAGATCAAGTCACTTAAATCAACTCATAACTATGGTAGAGTTTTTAAAATAGGCTTAGTGACTTACAAGTGGGCAGGGAAACAATTTTTCAATGTACTTATAGAAAACCCCAAGCTTAGTTTGAGGAAGATGAAAGCTCAAATCTCAAACACGTACAACATCATAGTTAGCATTGGACAATGTAGAAATGCAAAAAAGTTTGCTTTATCTGAGATTGAAGGCACTCTGAAAGAGCATTATAGTAGGTTGTGGGACTATGGCATTGAAATTTAAAGAGCTAATCCAGGATCAACTGTAAGCATGGAAGTGGACAATATGCCTGATGGAAGTACAATGTTCAAACGGTTCTATGTATGCTTCAGAGGTGTAAGAGATGGTTGGGTAGAGGGGTGTAGAAGAGTCATTGGGATTGATGGATGCTTTCTCAAAGGAATTTGTAAGGGTGAACTCTTAGCTGCAGTGGGTAGGGATTCCAATAATCACATGTTCCCTATAGCTTGGGCTGTTGTAACTGTTGAGAACAAAGAAACATGGAAATGGTTCCTTAATCTACTGATGGATGATATTGAAAGAGGCAATGGAAATGGACTTACTATTCTCTCTGATGGACACAAGGTAATACTCATGTTTACTCTTAACGTTATAGTTTAATAATTATTTAACATTGTAAATTGGGCAAGGTTTAATTGAAGCTATCAAGGAAAGGGTTCCTCATGCTGAGCACAGATTATCTGCTAGGCACATACTAGCCAACTTCAACACAAGGTTCAAAGGTGAGCATTTTATGAAGCCTTTTTGGAAGGCTGTGAAGGCTACCACAAAACAGAAACATGAAGCTGCTATGAAAGAGATCAAGGAATTAGATAGTAGGGCATTTGATTATCTCATGGAGAGGGACCCTAAATGTGATTGTAGGGCTTTACAAGTAGAAGGGGTATTCTGTGATGCTATTGAAAATGGAATTTCAGAGAGTTTTAATGCTGAAATAGTTGAGGCTAGACATAAACTAATAATAGCAATGTTGGAGGATATCAGGGTTTATGTGATGCAGAGGTTATACTATCACAGGACTAAGGGAGAGTCTTGGGATTTAACTATATGCCCATCCATTAGGAAGAAAATAGCAGATTTGAAGGACAAACAGAGGTAAGAATGTTTGTATTTACCTGTTATTTAGCATAAATATACATTTGTTCATGTGGTCTTACTTGTTTAATGTTTATGTACAGATTCTGGGCAGTGTACCCTTGTGGATATCAACAATTTTGTGACATCCCCAATTTCACGGCCAGAAAATACCGATTTGTTTATGCTTTGTTTTATAAAATCAGAGTAATCTTTTGAGTAAAAGAGTTGCGGAATTTGTTCCCAGAATAAAATATGATAACCATTTATCAAAACATTTCTCGAAAAGAATGTATTTTCATTAAATAATAAAACCTTGGGATGTCATGTTCGATACAGACCAAAAGCATAAACAATATAAAATAGACCTTACAATAGTTATTCAACTACTGATCTATAATCCAAAATCTCTCGTCAAGTCCACCAACTTTTACCCTTGTGCCATTACCTGTAATGAAAAGAAAACTGAGTGGGTCAGGCTTGGGAGCCTAGTGAGCATATAAGGTTTTCAACCCACAATAATATAATTATTATATTCAATCATCAAACAATCAACCCAATTACCCATCCCCGTTATCTCCATTTATTTCTTAAGTACCTTCCCTAAGGAATTATCCTAAGGGTCATCTCCTACATCATATTTATCTCTCATCTCCTTACATCACATTTCCTTGTATGTTTGTTCCTAAGGACTTTTTCCTAAGGATCATCGCATGAATACGTAGTCACAACATCGCCTGGACTAGTAAGTCATAATAAGGGTTAGACTATCATCGCATGAATACATAGCCACAACATCGCCTGGACTCATAATTCATAGTAAGGGTTAGAGTATCATCGCATGAATACGTAGCCACAACATCACCTGGACTCGTAATTCATCACCTACAGGTTATGAGCCTGCTGGTATTTCCACGAGGTCATCTAGAATAGTCCGTGGTCGCCATCTATACTCTGGTAGATGACTACATCGCCAAATTTCCACATCACCGGTCAAGGTTATGGTATCTCCTCTCATCTCACATCACCTATTTATCATTACCTTTCTATCATCACCTATTTCTCATCACCTAATCATCATCACCTGTTTCTCATCACCTAATTATCATCACCATTATATCCTCACCTTTCTCTTATCACATTCGTTCAACACACATCAACTATTTCATCTACCCATGTTCTACCCAACATATTTGTAGATATAGTTTAAATCATTTAACACCCATATAAAAACATCAATTCCAAGCCCATACCATATAGACAATTAATATATAACACATAGCACGTATTTCATAGCTAATGCTTTATATTTATGTGTTTAGAAGAGAGTACGGGTCTCGGGGTTGATACCGGGGCTTTGGGGGGTTAAAATAGGGCTTAGAGGGTGTATCGGGAGTGGGAGAGAAGGGATGGAGCAACCATAGTCGGATGGCCCTTCAAATCTATTTATAGGGCAAATTTTGCCCTTGCCACGTCGTGGGCTTGATCGTCACTGCATGCGTCATCCCAAGTTGCATCTGGGGGCCTCCCGGAGGTTTCAGGACACTTGCCACGTCGTGGTCTCTGACAGTTTTGGGGTTTCGCGCCCCGAACTTTAGAAATTCATAACTTTCGCATACGAACTCCGTTTTCGACGTTCTTTATATCACCGCGAAGGTGAGATTATGCTCTACAACTCTCGTTTAGACTCCATTGGCTAATTTTGACTTTATTTTTAATATATTATAAGTATATTACTTATATATTATCTATAGTAGGTCGGGACAGGAAAACTTCGTTCGAAATTCATAACTCCTTCATCTGAACTCTGTTTTCGTCTGTCTTTTTATCGTTGGACTACTATCGAAGAAATCTTCGACTCTCATTTAGATGACTAAGGCTAGATATCTATTTACCTTAAATTCACTATTTACGTCGCGCTAGGTCACGATAGGTCGTGTCGGTTCTATCGCGAAACTTCGACAGGTCATAACTTCTTCGTTATAACTCGGATTTTGGCGTTCTTTATATGCACGGAAACGTTGTGACATATACTAAAACTTGGTTAAGATTAATACTTCTAAATAATCTTCCATCAAAAAGTCATTTTTGATGCTTATCGTCTCTAAATTGACTAGCCCGGATCTACGGGCGTTACAATTATCTCCCCCTTAGGATGATTACGTCCCGAAATCATCAACGAAATAGGACTTGCATAATGATTCCACACATTATCTCTTCATCCTAGGTAATAACCGTAACTTCAATGTTTCCTTGATAGAGTATTTAACTCTATGGCTTTCTTGACTGCAAATGATGCCCAATCTTGCATCTGCTTATCGTACTATGATGTACTTTCAATCATAACTTCCAAGTTACAAAATAAGTCCTTATTGTGGACTCCTTCTTCTTCTCAGGATAAATACTTTCATTTATCAATTGTAACAAACCGATGGATCGTGTCCCGATGACCTCTTATCGTAGTCGGACTCAATTGATATGACCACTAGGGTCGGAATAACAACCGTCTTACTAGTCATTACCGAAACAATGGTAATGACATGCTTGAATAAAATGGAATTAATTACTTGCTTCTTGGTAACCTTGCGACTTCCCATGATCCAAGCGTGAGTCTTGTGCTTCCAGTAGTATAGATCTCTACTACTATTCACACATACTCATACTCGTCCCAAGTAAATGTCTCGTAGTCCCCAAGTCCTAAAATCACCAAACAATTTAACACATACTAATGTGTCCAATTAATCATAAAAATTCTCCTAGACTCTACTAGGACTTCTTCCATGCGTATCTTCAATCATCAACTCTACTTCAACTCGATTGGTGATGGAAATTCCAGACTATGAGACAACTTCAAGAATTTCGCCAATCGTTCCATCATCCTGCCAATCGAAGTGGACTTCAAACGTATCGTACCCCTCTAAATGTTTCGTTATTTTACCAGACATATACTAAAGGCAAGACACCACTCTTATGATATCTTCCAATAGGTGTCATTCACTATCATAAGCCTTTCATTTCCTACATTTACTCAATTCTCTATGAGTCTTCACCATAACGTTTTGTACATCCAAGCAGACCTTCGGTGCACCGGGCAAGAATTTAAGATAAGAAAGCTTTAATTACGATAGATGTATAAATCTCCTTATCACTCCGCAACTTTTACATATATTAGTCCTAATATCGTAATCATACGGTTAGAATCCTAAACACATAAGGTTTCTAGATCCGGTTGGCAACAAACCATAGATCCAAACAAACAATTTCATATATAACAAACACATAACATTTAGCACATAAAAGCATTTTAGACATCTTTCCTAAAATATACTAGTGCCCGTGCCTAAAATATGGTAGACACTCATCTCACAATCATCGCTTAGCATTCTAAGTTTAAGTCTAGAAATCCTACAAATTCCTAGTTCGCTTAAACTAATGCTCTGATACCAACTGTGACATCCCCAATTTCACGGCCAGAAAATACCGATTTGTTTATGCTTTGTTTTATAAAATCAGAGTAATCTTTTGAGTAAAAGAGTTGCGGAATTTGTTCCCAGAATAAAATATGATAACCATTTATCAAAACATTTCTCAAAAAAGAATGTATTTTCATTAAATAATAAAACCTTGGGATGTCATGTTCGATACAGACCAAAAGCATAAACAATATAAAATAGACCTTACAATAGTTATTCAACTACTGATCTATAATCCAAAATCTCTCGTCAAGTCCACCAACTTTTACCCTTGTGCCATTACCTGTAATGAAAAGAAAACTGAGTGGGTCAGGCTTGGGAGCCTGGTGAGCATATAGGGTTTTCAACCCACAATAATATAATTATTATATTCAATCATCAAACAATCAACCCAATTACCCATCCCCGTTATCTCCATTTATTTCTTAAGTACCTTCCCTAAGGAATTATCCTAAGGGTCATCTCCTACATCATATTTATCTCATCTCCTTACATCACATTTCCTTGTATGTTGTTCCTAAGGACTTTTTCCTAAGGATCATCGCATGAATACGTAGTCACAACATCGCCTGGACTAGTAAGTCATAATAAGGGTTAGACTATCATCGCATGAATACATAGCCACAACATCGCCTGGACTCGTAATTCATAGTAAGGGTTAGAGTATCATCGCATGAATACGTAGCCACAACATCGCCTGGACTCGTAATTCATCACCTACAGGTTATGAGCCTGCTGGTGTTTCCACGGGGTCATCTAGAATAGTCCGTGGTCGCCATCTATACTCTGGTAGATGACTACATCGCCAAATTTCCACATCACCGGTCAAGGTTATGGTATCTCCTCTCATCTCACATCACCTATTTATCATTACCTAATTATCATCACCTTTCTATCATCACCTATTTCTCATCACCTAATCATCATCACCTGTTTCTCATCACCTAATTATCATCACCATTATATCCTCACCTTTCTCTTATCACATTCGTTCAACACACATCAACTATTTCATCTACCCATGTTCTACCCAACATATTTGTAGATATAGTTTAAATCATTTAACACCCATATAAAAACATCAATTCCAAGCCCATACCATATAGACAATTAATATATAACACATAGCACGTATTTCATAGCTAATGCTTTATATTTATGTGTTTAGAAGAGAGTAACCGCACACTCACACATATAAACCACAACATATATACACATAACACGTATTTCGTATAAAATACTTCATAATTATGCGTTAGAAGAAAGTAACTACACACTCACTTGATCAGAAGATGATCGTACAGCACTACGACTTGTAGAAGTAGTATTCTTCGGTAGATCTGGAAGATCTCCGCAAAAATCAAACTTCTCGTGGGCAGAGCTTCGGCTCGGAAACCGCACTTCTCGGGATCTTCGGGATCTCGAGACTTGCTTCGGGTCTCGGGGTTGATACCGGGGCTTCGGGGGGTTAAAATAGGGCTTAGAGGGTGTATCGGGAGTGGGAGAGAAGGGATGGAGCAACCATAGTCGTCTGGCCCTTCAAATCTATTTA